CCACGAGTTGGCGCGTGACCCAAAGTAAAAGAAGCTCTATCCACCGTGAACACTTCCGTCACATATCGGCGCATAAGAATAATAATGACAACAACTGCTTCAGGCAATTCGCGCTATCTCACTCGAGAGTTTGTCGACTGTCATTGTTTTTCGCCTAATTGTGCTTGACTGCGAATTGTTCCGAAAATACGTGTGAGTTTTTCTATTCTGACCAATAGAGCTCTTCTTAGCGCGCCAACTCGTGGAATATCGGTTGCAAGTTTAGTTGAGACGTAGAATAGAAAAGAGAGTACTAGTGGTATGATAAATTTATAAATTAGAAAATTCAATAAGGTCATAATTTGCGGCGACCATCTTGGAGAGATCGTGAGAAAGTTTGTTTAACGCCAAATTCTGCTCGATGAACATAAAAGAAAAGTGAGATGACTTTTTTTACTTTCAGCCTCATCTTATGGAGACCCTCGAGATGATAAGGGAGGGGTCGTAATCAAGTGATTTTTACGAGTAGCTGTTACGGGGTCGCCAATATTTGCGGATCAGGGTGGAGTTCGACTGCGACACCTTAAGCGAGGAAAAACGTGCTTGCTAGTGTGAGAAATGACAAAAAATGGGTACTGTGCGACCCCTCGATGGGCGAAATGACTAATTCTTTTTTTTAAGCGCGTCTTGGAACGTTCGTTAGTTCAAGGTTACGATGGAGAAGCAGTCACTGAATTTGAGGATTTGGGGATTTAGAGATTGGGAGATTGGGGGGTGTAGGAATTTGGAAATTTTAGAATTCGGGGTTTAGGGATTTGGGAATTTTAGAATTTGGGAATTTAGGAATTTGGGGTTTAGGGATTTGGAAATTTTAGATTTTGGGAATTTAGAAATTTGGGGGTGTAAGAATTTGGAAATTTGAGAATTTGGGGTTTAGGGATTTGGGAATTTTAGAATTTGGGAATTTAGGAATTTGGGGTTTAGGGATTTGGAAATTTTAGAATTTGGGAATTTAGGAATTTGGGAGCGTAGGAATTTGGAAATTTGAGAATTTGGGGTTTAGGGATTTGGGAATTTTAGAATTTGGGAATTTAGGAATTTGGGGGTGTAGAAATTTGGAAATTTGAGAATTTGGGGTTTAGGAATTTGGAAGCTTGAGAATTTGGGAATATAGCAATTTGGAAAGTGAGAAATTTGGAAATTTGAGAATCTGGGGCTTTAGTAATTTAAAAATGTGTAAATTTGGAAAATTAGAAATTTAGAAATTTGAGAATTTAAAAATTTAGGAATTTGATAATTTGAGACTTTCCGAATTTAAAAAATTAAAAAATTTTAATATTTAAAAAGTTCCAAAATAAAAATCATAAAAATCGAAATTCCAAATCATCATCAATTTGAAGTAAACACATCTCCAAAATCGAAAGCGAATGAAATTTCAGTATAAATTTTATTCCATATTACATCGGTAATTTATTCTTGACAGATAATAACCGTGCAGCAGAAGGGTGCACGATTATTACGTTGAATCGTGATTATACCTGGGGCGATGAATAATAAAAACTTTATAATGAATTTAATTCAGAAGTAACTAAATTTCATATTATGTATGGCAACCGCGTTACGGTGGAGCTGTTGTATAATTAGGTTTTAACGTATCTATATGAATATTAAATGTATTCATTTTGAATAGTTATAATTAATGTCATACAACGCGCTACGAGGGCAAACCGTATGGACGGAATATGTAAAAATAAA